GGGGCAGCTAGAATCATCTTTATATTTTATTTAACGTTTGAAAAGTGTCATTTTAGGTGGTCTAATAAATTATTTGTTTGAATGAATGAATGGTACGTGTACCTTATATAAATAAATAATGATTATTTCCACATTGTATTTATGATCTACATACATATATGTTTTTTTCCTTTTTTAGAAACTTTAAATGTTGTTTGCCTACTCATATATTCACTTTTTTGTTATGACTCAGTATTGCTGTGGAATGGAAGCCTGGTTATCCATGTCACAGGTTCTTATCTAGCTTGGAAACCAGTCTCCGAATACCTTCTTAATTGTTAGTACTGTTTGTTTCAAATGTTGTATGGGAGAAAAATAAAGAATTATTATAAATAAATTATAGACTAATACTAGCTGACGCAGCAAACAGCGTTTTGCCGTGTATATTATTTCTAGGAAAAAAATTTTTAGTTCAATAAAAATAACTATCTACCATAATAAAAAATAGGGGTTGATCGTAGAGGGGTGAAAATTAATTAGGCCAACAAGTCTCCAGTAATGGTAGAGGAACCAAATGAAAAATAATTTAATTGAACCTTTAACAGTTAAGGCAAAACGTACTTTAAAAAAATCATTTATTCATTTAGGTAACACAATGTACACTTATGAACGTCAAAAAGAAATATACATCAACAGTTCAACGGAAGAGAACAACTGGCAATGAACTCTCCGCCACTCTTTTAATCGCCAAGTTTTTGTTTTACACGTTTGTAAGGAGCTGCAACCATTACACCATGTTCCACATGACAACTTAAGTATTTAATATAAATAAAATAAATAAAAAAAAAGATTTTTCCTCTATCAGCAGGAGGCATGGTGAAATAGGAGCACTTTTTCACTATTTCACTTAAAGGATAAATAATAATAATAATTTTTCTTTACATTACTATAGACCGTTCTGGATATTTGTTAAGGTTCTATTTTTATATATTCCGATAAAAAATTGAAAGCCGTTTCGATATTTGGATCGCGATCGTAATTTACTTCGAAGTTATCGGAACTGGAAATGCCGGTCTCCAAGGAAGTGAATGGATACGTTTTACATCAAAGGACGAATGCGGACAAGATCGGCTGACTAATCTGACAAGATCACTTATGATTGATAATTTATAAGTTTTTACAGCTACTAAAGATATATATAGGCAAACAGATTGTTAAATAAATATACGAAACAGAAAACAATCGTAGAAAAAGTGCGTGCGTACTTAGTACACATGTTAGAAGTGAAACTTCTTTGTAAATTAATTATTGAGTAATTAAGCTGCCCAAATCCCATAATTTAATTTTGCCAGTCTTTCTATAATAATGAATAATAAGGCTAATTAATAACCAGAACTAAAATTAGTTGTTGTTATATATAGAAATACCACCATTAATATGGTAATTACCAAATAATATAACAAATTCATTATTATCATAATTGCTTATGTCCGCATTTTCTAAAATAGCCAACTGGGTCTTAGCAAAAAAGGTCTTGGGTATGTGCCCTTTTAAAAGAAACCAATAAAAAAATGGTAATTTAGTTACTTAATAAAATAATAATGATATGTATTAAAAACACCATCGGTGTTCAAGTATGAATAATTGCACCACAATATTATACTAGCACATCTTTATTAAAGAAAAAAAAATCGACAAAAACGCTGCACATCTTCGTGACGTTCCGTAAAAAATTTACCCTCATACTAAAGAAGTTTCACTTCAAAAAGAAAACTGAAATTAAATATACACAGGGCCGGAATTCCCCAGAGCGTCAACAAAAGACTACGGAAAAATAATGTTTTAAATTCCGACTAGTAAACAACTTTTCTTTTCTTTCTTTTTGCTGTTATACCTTTACCTTTGTACAAACATGATTATCCTGGTCTTAAATTAACAGAAATCATTTATCATTATGTATATTTTTATGTTTGTTAAATACTAAAAGAATCTACTTGAATTCACAATAAATTATTAATTGAAAAGCTCGAATGAAAAATGTTTCATTTTATTTGGAAAATAATTTGGGACCTCCACTCCATTATTACCCCAAGGCATCCAGACCTCTACATCCGGCCCGGGCAATAATAAATATAAAAGTTACGTAATATAGCGGTAATGTGGCTCACTCTCTCATGAATGAATAAGTAAATCAGTGGCGCTACAATTTTTTATGTCTGGGCCTCATATATATATGTCATGACCCAAAAAGTCGAAGGCAAGTCGGTTTCCTCACGATGTTTTCCTTCACCGTTCGAGCGAATGTTAAATGCGCACATAGACAGAAAGTCCATTGCTAAGTCCAAGCCCTTCAGGCTAACATCGATTTTAGAAAATATATGTCCTTCGAGCCCTCCCTTAAATATATAGGGGGCCCATTGCTGGCCATGCATCATAATAATGAACGGGTGCTACTTGCGATGACTGGTCGGACTTGAATTCGTGTATGCGGTGATGTTAGTTGTTTCAACTATGTATTTGCGTGTTGTTCCTACCAGAATGTAAGTACGTGCTCTCATTTCACATTGCCTCCTGCTGATAGAGGACAAATCTTTGTTTTTAATTTATTTTATTATTAATTACTTAAGATGTCATGTGGAACATGGTGTAATGGTTGCAGCTCCTTACAAACGTTGTGTAAAAAAAAGGCGATTAAAAAGAGTGGCCGAGACTTTATTGCCAGTTCTTCTCTTGCGTTCTATGCCCTTGATTTGAGAACTGGCAGTAAATGTAAAATTAGAAGCATTTAATGTATATTTCTTTTTTGGCGTTCATAAGTGTACCTTGTGTTACCTATACGAATAAATGATTTTGACTTTGACAATCAGTGGTTAGTTTGAGGAACCTTTAAAGGCTCATTCATCGGTGGTGGAAATAAAAAACAGCATACTATATATTACATATTTTTACATTGACTAGACATTTGACTAGATATAATTTGTGCTATTATTATACTACTTACATCAATTAGAAATAATTCTGCTATATCGGCAATAAATAATAAATCATGTACTCGATTCTCGAAGGACCAAAAACATACATGAACATTTCTCTAAATCCGTACAAAAACAACATTATCTTATAAACTAATCCAGGTCCATAACAAGGTCTATTATTTATTATTGAATATTTTTTTGATTATTGATATTGATTTGTACTTTAGAGTACATTACAATCTTATCATTGGATCTGTAATTTGTCGGATTACAAGGTACTCTTTTGTGAAAAATTCTGGACTATTCCGGTCTTAGTCAGTAGGTACTCTATAATCCGACAAATTCAATAGTCCGACAATGCCCTGCAAAATGTTTGTCGGTTTACCGGGGGTCCATTATATATTCCATTACATACTTTGCTAAAATAGAAATAAAAGTACTTTATTATACATAACTAGCTGTTCCCTGGCACATTTTGATTGATTGGTTGAGAAATAAGAAACAAAACAAAAATAGATAAAAACAATCCTCGATGCAGATTACATATCATGCTAAAATTTCAGCTCGATCGGTGCAAAATTTTATGAGTTTTTGAAGCGTACACAAACCAACATAACATTTGTATATGTCACCGTAAAATTGTAAACACCGTTAGATTGTAATCTATCTCGCGAGATTGTGAACTGTCGAAAGATTATGAACCTCAACGTACTGCTTACAATTTAACGTATTATTATTCGGTAGATTGTAATCTATCGAAGTGAAACCGTCAAAATACAATCTTAAAATTGTCAAATTGTCAACTGTCCGAAGGCTGTCCCTGATTGGTCGGCTTTATAGTAGAGATAGATAGAGTTAGGAATGAAACACGTGTATCAGTCAAATACAAAATATTTAAATATTTCTTTTACCTATATGAATAAAGTTATTTTGAGTTTGAGTAAGTTGGTAAGTTAAATACCAACGAATACCTAAGCTGATTTTATACCTGCGTTGGACTTCTATCCCATTAGAGGATTACTCCTCCATAACGTAAATTGGACTTGTCACTAGATGGCGTGGATACAACTATAAAGAGTATAAAGTTTTGACATTTTTACAGCGCTAAGACGATCTTCTTTTGATTGAATGCAGCTTTTACGCTATTTGTATGATAACAAATAAATGCCATATAATATTTATACTAAAACAAACAATAGTAATAAATAATAATATAAGAATAAAATTATACAACATTTAAAACTATAATATATTTGGCTTCATTAACTGAAGTCAAACAAAATAGACGCCATACAATCATTCTGTCTTGTTCACTCTTATACATTTCTATATATGACTGTCTCAATTTAGTAATAAAACCCAATCTATTGCGTACTTCATCTAAGCTCACTGTCATAGTAATCCATATGCCTTGATCACACGTACCGAGCAAACCGGCGAGACAGTACTCTCGGTCGAGCACTCGGTACGTATAAACATAGCGCCGAGTGCTCGGCCGAGCGCTCGGCCGAAAGAAGTGGCGAGACAATAGCTCGGCGGCCGTTCTACTTACTAGACCGAGTGACCACCCTCCTCCACCCTCCCGCTTCCCCGCACTGTCTCGCTCACTCACTCGGCAGGTTTGAACATACACTGTCTCGCCGCTCGCCACTCGGCCACATGATTGTCGCGACGCCGCACGTGGTTTTTTTGAGTGCAGTTGTTTAATGTTTTAAAGGCCTTGTTAATAGAACTGAATGATTTCAAAATGCGTGTGAACAGCTACTCGGTTACTACACTGTCTCGGCCGAGAGACATTTTACTGTCTCGCCGGTTTGCTCGGTACGTGTGATCAAGGCAATAGAGCGAGGATGAAGCCAAAATAGACGCTAAAATCATTATGTCTCGTTCACTCTTATATATTTCCATATATGACTGTCTCAATTTCGAAGACCCAATCTATTGCGTTCTTCATCTACACGGTTACTATAGCAACGAGAACAAAAATAACAAATCACGACACCAATACATAAAGTGTTTTGGACAAATTTCTTGAGAAAACCCAATTTACAGACAAGGGTTCAAATCCCCTGTCATATTGACATGTGAACAGGTCACTTTCTGGCCAGAGGGGACGGCGACCCTGAACAACTTACCCTGGGGCATACAAACACACACTTTGAATTGCCCAATACCCCCTCCCCGTGTTAGGGGTGCGGCTATAGGTAAATACCTGGAAATAAATTGATTTCAAATACCTATACATGTCTATAAATGGATATCTCAAAAACTACTCAACCGATTTTGATGAAACATGGACCAAGGAACGTCCATAGACACATGTGTCAGGCATAAAAGGCTGATCTTCTTGCCTGTTTTAATTTTTTTTTTCATAAAATTACCAAAACCAAATGTTCCTGGGTTTCGTAACTGTCAAAATGTCGCAAGTGCCTAGCCGGCCTTTTAAGAATTGATACCTATAGAACAGGGGTCAAACGGGCAGGAGGCTCATCTGATGTTAAGTGATACCGCCCATAGACACTCACATTGTCAGAGGGCTCGCGAGTGCGTTGCCGGCCTTTTGAGAATTTATACCTATAGAACAGGGGTCAAACGGGCAGGAGGCTCATCTGATGTTAAGTGATACCGCCCATAGACACTCACATTGTCAGAGGGGCCGCGAGTGGTTGCCGGCCTTTTGAGAATTTATACCTATAGAACAGGGGCAACGGCAGGAGCTCATCTGATGTTAAGTGATACCGCCCATAAACACTCACATTGTCAGAGGGCTCGCGAGTGCGTTGCCGGCCTTTTGAGAATTTATACCTATAGAACAGGGGGCAAACGGGCAGGAGGCTCACCTGATGTTAAGCAATACTACCGCCCATGGACAGTCTCAATGCCAGAAGGTTCTCAAATGCCTCATTTTAAGAATTGGAAAGCTCTTTGAAGGACCCTAAGTCGAATTGGTTCGGAAATACTTCAGTGGGCAGCTGGTTCCACAAAGTGGTGGTGCAAAAACTGCCTTAAAAAACGCAGTTGTAATAAAAAAACTAGATCAAATGCGGCTTAAAGCAAAAAAAATCCTCCTATGCCCCATATTACCTGACGTCAATGAAGACTCCTTCCTTCCCGCTTATAACGATGGATCCATTTATGGACTTCAAATAGATGTCTTGGTCAGCAGACCAGTGGAGCATTTTGGCTTCCATATGAGTGCCTTCAGCACCCTGCAGATGAAGGGAACTGTCTGCTCGGATTAGCAGGTCCTCGTCTACTGGAGACGATATTCGCTTGGTTGAAACTTGCTGGAATTATTTTATTGAAAGATATATAAATAATATGTACTGTAACTGAACAGGGTGTACCATAACTCATTCTCAAGACAATCCGTAGCAGGTTATAGGCAATAATAGGGCAGGTTCAAGGTTAACCCTAGAAAATAGTAAAGAAAAAAAGGGGGGGGGGGGGGGGGGGGGGGGGGGAAAGAAAAGGAGAAAGGGGGGGGGGGGGGGGGGGGCCCCGGGGGGGGGGGGGGCCGGAAGGAAAAAAAAAAAAAAAAAAGAGGGGGCCGGGGGGCCCCCAGAGAAAAAAAAAAAAAAAAGGGGGGGGGGGGGGGGGGGGGGGGGGGGGGAAAAAAAAAAAAAAAGGGAAAAAAAAAACCCCCCCCCCCCCCGCAGGGGTTAAAAAGGGAGCCCCCCCCCAAAATCCGTTTGGAAATTCTGAAATAAATGCAGTAGTAGAATTGCCATTTCTTCTCACCTGTTTACCCCTTGATTTAAAGGCCGGCAACACACTTGTGGCTCACAAGCAATTCTGGCAAAGTGAGTGTCATGGTAAAAAAGAGGGTAAGAACAGGCATTTAATGTAACTGTAGGGAAAGAAAGACTTATTGCTGAAAATATATAAATATATATAACTGGTGGCAAAACAATTATGCCATTACTATCATACGGAAGTATAACCCAAAATATTACTTATTAATAAATATTATATTTACATATTTCAATTTAAAAAAATATAAACAAGCATAAAGTACTTGAATCAATATAATTTATACTAAAAAAGACTAACCTTGGCAAGCAAATTATTTACAGACTCTGTGAGTGTTAACTCCGCACTGTCAGTGCTGAACACGGTTTCACCGGTTACTGGTTCGATAATTTCAAAAGAATTCACTCCACGCACAAAGATTCCAGACGTGTTCACTGTTAGTCGTGTGTCGGAGCGAGATAGCCTGTAATACAATAAAAATATGTTAGCCTAAACCATTGATCCATTTCTGCACCCTGGTACTCTGTAAATTCCAATAAATATTGCGGTCCTTATGTGTTGGTTATCTTGATGTAGTTCTCTCAATACCCATGATGACGCAACAAATAATTGTCTGTATGTAAGTTTATCACTTTATTTAGAAATATTTTATTGCACTTCTCTGTGTCACTTTTGGATCTTTTATCAAAAGTGCTTGAAAGAGATTGCTAGGCAATAAGGCTAATTCACTCATCTTTTAGATGTATTATTGTCTGCTAAAGTGTTATATTCATACAGTATGCCTTAAACAAAATTAAGACTTGCCAAAACATAGATGAGCATTTTGGTTATATATTTTGATTAATTTTATTTTTTTTAACCATTTCAAATTTACTAACACCACTGGACCTATGTTATCCAAACAAATATTCTGTGACCTTGTCTATGTATCTCAAGATATGCCAATATTTCTCACCTGGTCTGCAAATTGAATATAACGGATCCATTTTCACTCACAACACTCATTGGCACATCTTTAAAGCTCTCAATTAGGCCATCCTTTTTATATAGATGATCCAAGTTTGTCTCTCCAAAGAACTTGATGGCATTGTGCTCAGGGAGAAATTCCATGCTTTCTAGCCCTGAAATGACAGACATTTGTTTGAAAATAATGTCATAATTCAAAGCATTTCTTAGTATGTAGCTCGAAACTATAAACAAACACATTGCAATGTGAGTAAAACAGTAAAGGTTCTCAAACGAAATAATTCTTATTTAAGTAATTGGATTTTTAATACCTACAAAAGTTGGTTGAAGTACACCTCACACATAAATTAGGAACTACACAAGAATAGTTTTTCTTTAATATATTAAAACAGTGATTGTAAAGAAATGTTTATAGATATTCCACCAACAACAGCTTAAGGCCTCTAAATAGACCATCAGAAGTTGAAGTAGGTCAATCTATTTCTACCAATTAAAAGTAATTTAATATTTTCTGGAATATTGTTACAGAAAGGTTTACCTTGGCCCAGTCTTAATACTGCAAGAATTGTAAAGGTTAAAATAAGATTTCCAATCGCCAGAACGAACAATAAACAAACCAGCGTCCAGAATGCGAAAGTTTTTCGTCCCTTGTACACATTTTTACAAACATCGTTTCCATTTTTATCAGAATAATTTCGCAATCCAATGTGCTTATGAGGCAAAGATGAAGTTTTTGAGATTAAAGCTTTCTCGGCACGTTGCCTTTCGATGGTATTATCCGACATTGTTTCAGACAGCGGTGATACCCCACGTAAATTCGTTAGCATCTCGATGTTTATAATTCTATTGATATCAAAAATAGAAATGTATTTATACCACAACACAACACACACGAAATGTAAAGTATTGTCAAACTCAAATTATTGAGCGAAAAATACGGATTCTCATTGGCTATGTATTCACCAATCACAAAAAGCAAATCTATAGTAGCAAACAACTCTTTAGTCGATAGTTGATACACACCATAGTAGTATATTAGATTTCTGTGGTCTGTGAAGTTTGAATATTATTTTTTTATAATAATTTTAACTTGGCCTAAAGGTCTAGATACCAGGCAATGAACTCCAAAAAAATTAAATCGAACCATAGATGGACCTCTAGAGTGTGATAGCACATCGTAAACTCAATGAGAAAGAAAAGGGTAGAAAGATTTCTTATCCCTGTCATCTATATTATCTGTCTGTTACCTAATAGAGGCACTCATGCTTGATGACAAAAGTTAATTATCTACACACACGCGAAATCTACGAAAAAATCAGTAGATTGCGTGTCTGTATGTCTTAAAACGATTAGATAGGTAGGCATCTTATTATTATCTAGCTATCTATATAATTATAATCTCACATATTTACGATTTTTTGTAGCTGTAGCCTGTACCATTAATTGTTTCTTTGGTTTGAACTTAATACGGATAAAACTTAGGCTCTGTTTGTTTTGTTGGAAAGTCTTTCTAGAAAGGGGGCATACTACATACAACATCACCGTACTATCAATAGGAGTGGAGTATAAATAGAAGATTGTATTTGATATTTACATGAGAAACTTAATATGTATATACGAACGAGATACACGTCGCCATTAGCCGTCCCAATTCTAGTCTAGATACTCTATTATTTATTATATAAACATTAATTAATAGAAGATGTTACGAAAATGGCAATTTAAGATCTTCCGTTGCGTTAGTCGGCAATGACGGTTATGCATGTCATGTTTGATAGAATTATTATTATTCCTTTTTAGAACGCCTATCAAAAGATTCCAACATATTTTTGAAGTGAAACTTCTTTAGGAGCATGAGGGTATTTTTTTTACGGATGAAACGCAATAATAATAATATTAGCGTCATGAAAATGTGCAGCGTTTTTGTCGAAGAAACGGGAGAGAGTGAGATAGGGATGAGCATGCAAGTGAGAAAGATCGAGAGAGAGAGTGAGATAGAGCGAACGTCGCATCACGGACACTGGACAGTGCCATGGAGCGAGAGGTGGGAGAGAGCTATAGTGAGAAAGATTGAGAGAGAAAAAGGAAGATCGAGAAAAAATATACACTATATTGGTTGATGTGTTCGTAATGTGAGAAAAGAAGTCGTCTACATTAGATGGGAAGTAAGTTGTGAATATATCTCTTATCTTTTTGTTAATTTACAATTTTTGAATTGTGATGATCGCTGCTGATGCGTCTCCATAGCGTCGTTATTAACGAAGATTATTTGTATCTAATATATAAAATTCTCGTGTCACAGTTTTCGTTGCCATACTCCTCCAAAACGGCTCGACCGATTCTCATGAAATTTTGTGTGCATATTGGGTATGTCTGAGAATTGGACAACATCTATTTTTCATCCCCCTAAATGTTAAGGGTAGTCCACCCCTAAATTTTTATTTTTATTTTTAGATATTTTTTTCTGTTTTTATTTTTTTAAGATACAGCATTAAAAAATACATACAAACCCCTAACTTTCACCCCTCTACGATCAACCCCTATTTTTTTATTATAAATGATATATATGGCAAAACGACGTTTGCCCGGTCAGCTAGTTTTCAACAAATTTATCATTTTAATTATTATCATCAATATGCTTGCTGCTGATTAAATTACAATTATTAGTAGCGGCTATCAAATAAGTTATCTAAAAATTAGTGTGTAATTAAGATAAAAACAGATAATGCCAATTAACGATGTATTGATTTACAATTGAATTAAGTGATTAACGTTATGGACATATTATAGGTAACAAATTACTTTTTATTTATTTATTGAAGTTATACTTCTTTAGGCGCGTTATGAAAAATCGATGAGAGTGAAATTTTACGATGCGCGCGCACCGTGACAAAAAATTAACAGAATTAAGTTAGTAGCGCATGCTGGCACGCACGCCGCCTCTGTTCACTGTGTATTTATAATATTAATCTACATGCTTTGAGTTTCTACATTTAAAACACGTGTTTTCATTTTGTTTTCTTTATACAAGTGCGAATTTTATATGTGCGTCTGAATTATAATTAGAAGTGATTTAAATTTAATATTTAAATGTAAACTGAACTTTATTGACTATAATGACTCCTTTTCCAGTCTTTGATTATTTAATTGTAATTAATTATTTGCATGCAATCAATAACTATTTTTAATAATGCCAAAGAAGAATAACATCTTACGCGCGTTTATAAGTACACGCACCCTTTTTTTAAATAGGCACTAACGAAACACACACTTACAGAGAACACAGGACATAGTTATTACAAAAAAAATCGGCTGTCTGTAAAGTCGGTTTACTGACGATAGTTGAACGTGACAACGTCATATGAAAATACTGAGGGAATGGTTGCATTTTTCAAAAGAATTTTTTTATTTTATTAGTTTGATAGATATTCTGTATGGATATAGAGAAGGAGATAAATGGAAATCACAATTGAATTGATCAAGTTACATTTATTTGTACGCATAAATACAATTACTTATGTCAATTTTTAACGAACGAACGCTGCCGAACGCGGAGGCCGATCGTGCCTCTTTGTCGCTCGTTCCGCAATCCGCGCTCTCGCTTGCACATCAAGGCTTAAATGGAACGCCTCAGAGCGAGGTAACGCCGCATGCGTCAAGAGCAAGGTAACCGCATCCGTCATGTTTTTTCGTGCGTGCAGCCGGCTCCATCGAATTATAAGACGTTGTCACGTCAAAACACAGAGACACAAACAATGAGAAGTGTGCACAACATTTAAAGGAAATACAATCATAGAGAATTAAGAAATACAAAGACTCAAAGCGTCGTTTACTGCAGATAGAGATCTATTTATTACATTACAACCGACGCTGGTCCTGCCTGAACGTAAAAGAGGATCTAATTTAATGAAAAGGTTCATTATTTCATGATCTTCTTTTCCCATTTCTTCGCCTGCACGGTTTGTGCTTCAGCCATGTTTCACGTACATTCAAATCACGTTAAATTGCTAAGAGTTACTACTAATAAAACTTGACGGCTCATTGGTCTAGTGGTGAGTACCCCTGACTGCGAATCCATGGGTCCGGGTTCTATCCCCGGCTGAAACAAACATCGATGTGATGAGCATTTGGTGTTGTGCTTAGGTCTTGGGTGTCCAAAGATGTATTTATATGTGTTAGGTCTATCTATGTATAATATTATGTATGTATATCCGTTGCCTAGTACCTACCCATAAAACAAGCTTCACCAGCTTAGCATGGGACTAGGTCAATTGGTTTAAATTGTCCAATCATAAAAAAAAACTCCTTTGCTATGCTAAACAATTTTCTATATTAATCTTGTTAATTATTTTCCATCATTCTTGAGATATTTTCAGAGTTTATCTTTTTGAAGTAAAACTTCTTTAGGCGCATAAGGGTAAAATTTTTACGCATGAAACATGACGAACATGATGAAGAGGTGAAAATTGCAGGTGCAGCATTTTTGTCGAAGAAAAGCGAGAGAGAGAATTAAAATTTTGTAAAGTTTATGAAATTTTAGTATTTTATATTTTATGCAAAATAATTTATTGAAATCTCAAATGACGAATTGTAAATTAAAATGCTACGTGTTTTTATTATCGAAGAAATAAATTAAATTATATATTTATTATTTGTATTAATTTTCGACACTTAATATTTTAATGACAATTAAATTCATTAAATTCCTACCATATCTTCTTTTTCCCTCCCTCTATGTCTCGGAAATCTAAAGTTTTAGATTTGTATAAATATGAACAAGAGTTAAAAATTTGTTTGCCAAAGAAGTTTCACTTCTGACATGTGTACTATGAACGCACTTTTTGGAAGTTATACTTCTTTAGGCGCGTTATGAAAAATTGATGAGAGTGAAATTTTACGATGCGCGCGCACCTGAGACACAAAGTTGTCAGTGTGATTATAGCGTGCGCGAGCGAGATGGGAATAAGACAATCTACAAGTAAAAAGAAATAGAATATGCGTGAAGTTAGCAGCTATGCCAAGAATTTTGAATGACCATAATGACATTTACCTTTTAAACAAATAAAGGAGTTTTAATTATTTTTCAAAGAAATTTAGCAATGCTTTTCACAAAGACCTATTTTTACTTAGTTAAAAGGTTATGAAACATACCAAGTTATTAAATTGAATGAATAATATAATAAAATAATAAATAATAATAATAATTGTTATTAATATTAATTAATAATTGAATAATATACTAAATATTAAATATTATTAAATTGTTTACGTTAAATATTAATTATTAATTAATTATATTTAAAAAAAAATAAAGAAAGCCAAAGAAGTATAACTTACGCGCCTACAAAACATAAGTACACGCACCCTTTTTTTATTTATTTCTATTATCATGAGCACATATACAGTGTGAATATAGATATACAAATACATGAAGTAATCATATACTGGTACATGATCATTGGCGCTTTTACCTAAGTAATACTTAATTTACAAAGAAGAAGAAATAAATTAAATTATATATTTATTATTTGTATTAATTTTCGACACTTAATATTTTAATGACAATTAAATTCATTAAATTCCTACCATATCTTCTTTTTCCCTCCCTCTATGTCTCGGAAATCTAAAGTTTTAGATTTGTATAAATATGAACAAGAGTTAAAAATTTGTTTGCCAAAGAAGTTTCACTTCTGACATGTGTACTATGAACGCACTTTTTGAAGTTATACTTCTTTAGGCGCGTTATGAAAAATTGATGAGAGTGAAATTTTACGATGCGCGCGCACCTGAGACACAAAGTTGTCAGTGTGATTATAGCGTGCGCGAG